CACCTCTTTAAACTTCCGTTAACTTTTCTTCAACCAGTGTACTCATTATTTTATACCGGTATTAATTCTCCATCTCCGTTAAACTAAAGCTCGAACCGTCTGTTGTCATCTCCGTTAAGTTTCGACAGCCCTCAATCGTCTCCTCAGCCTTTGCCGTTCCTGGCCTTCCCTATCATCATCCGTATAAAACAACTCTGTATAAATTAAGCCTCTTAAATTAGGTCGTATATATATATATATATATACACGAAGTATATCTTTTGTCTTCCAACTCCACTCATCAGTCTTGTTCATTCCGTTTACTCGATCACTGGTGCTCTGGTGAGTTTCATCCCTTAATTTGGAAATTTTGGTGTATTTGATTATTTACTTTTACTTGATTGTAACCATTAATTGGTCAATTCACAATCAACTTCTAACGATTGATGTGGGAGTAGGAAACTAAGCAGCAAAGTATGAACCGGAAGATATTGAGATCTATTGATTTAATGGATTTAGAGACTAAATTTTGTAAATACAAGCAACAAAATATTGGGAGGAGTTTTGGTTGGAATCAGGGGTCAAAAATGCAAGTTTTCTCTCAAAAATAAGATTATTTTTGCAGTGTTATACCTTCTCAGTTTTTTATTCTTATTGCTGATTTGGTTCTATAATCTTCCTCCCTAAGAAGCATCATTTTGGTTTAGGGTTGTTAGATGGACCATGATTTGATATCAAAATTTGTCTTCTTTTCACCTTATTGGTACAAGGTAAATGAATCTCGAAAATTAAATTTCAGATTTATATGTAATCATTTTTAGACTAGGTTATACAGTATAAAATTTGAGATTTCATCAGATTTCTGAAAATGGTCAATTATCATATACTCCCTCCGTCTCATTTTACCTGTCCCACTTTCCTTTATGGGTCGTCCCAAAATAAGTGTCTCGTTTCCTTGGAATGAAATCTATGGTCTACAATATTTCACTCTATTACACTCAAATTGCAACCACAACTTTTACTTTTTCAACCATTTCATTAATATATTGTGCCAACTCAAAGTAGGACACATAAAATGGGACGGAGGTAGTATCATGTTATGTAGTTTTTTTTAATTGATTTGTTCTTTAATATGTGTAATCTACTTTTTCAAACTTAATTCTATGGTTGTTTTTATGGGAACCAATTGTTCTCCAAGGCATCCTATTTAAGAAAAAATATCATTAACTTTTTCTGGCAAAAGATTCAAGTTTTAGTGGAAGTGTTTATAATTGCCTTTATGTTCAAGTTTTTTTATTTAATAGTATGTTGGTTAATTTCCTAACAAAACAGTTTTGTAAATGGCAGGTAGCAATACACGTTTATCCTTCTAAAAACTGATTGTTACGCTCTTCTTATGGTCCTTCCATAGTTCACTATATTTGATCTCTTCTTTCTCGATATTGGTAGTTTTAAATTCAAACTATTAGGATGGAAGAATCTATTATTGAAATTGTGATTGGTTTTGCTGAAAATTGGCACATGATGAAGGAATAATTATTTAATTTGAGGTGTACTGAACATGAAAATTTCATTTTTAACCCAAGAATGTGGTTGTTGGGGTCACAGATGCTTTGACACCCATTACTATATTGTTAACTGTGGTGTATATGACACCCATCTTTGATTTAAGTATAAGGCTTAGCTCTGCTAAACTGCTTGTAAAATGAAACCTTCTCTTACTTTCTACTCATTGTGTATATGTGTTATACGTACCTATATAATTGCAATATATGGCGTCATTCAAGGTCGCTTAAAGAATGTAAGTTTGCAATAGGATGACAAGGTCATACTTTTGCTCAGAGTTGTGCACAAGTGGACTGTCCCCAAGACAGAAGGTTCTCCTGAGCCATATATGGTTACCCATAAATGGTTGAGATGGTTCTGTTGAATGAGATGGTTCTGAACCAAAAGGGGTAGCTTGCTTTTGTGGTTTAATCTCTGGGCCTCACATCTAGAAAAGCCCTCCCAGGCGAGAAGGTGTGTCGCCTGACTAATACTTATATATCCTAAATATCTATACATTTAAAAACTGCACTTCTAAGATTTTTCTGATAGGTTCTAATATAGCTTGGGTATAGCAACCACATATTAGCTTTTTCTGATAATTGTTGGATGGTTCCTTTTAATTGTAGTGTTTGTTTTCAGGGAGTTCAAGAGTCCGACTCGCTAGCACATGTGAAGTCTTTATTTTCTTTGGCCTATGAGAGATCTTATTTTTCATACAAGTGTTTTTTTTCTCATTAAACCAACTTTAAGCAAATTCCTTCAAAGATTTGATATCAAACATGTATAGCTTTTACGACAACCCTTTTTTTTCCGTATAAAGATAATACAAATTCATATAAAATCAAATATTAAAAGGAAGTAGAGTTAAGGAATAATGATATGAAACCTTCTATGTGAATAAAGTTATTGGGGGATTTATTGATTCCGAATGTTCCATACTTAAATGATACCCCTTTCGTCACATTCAAAGGTTCTCATTTTTTTTTTTTGACGTTCCACTTAAAAGTTCCCCTTTTCTATTTTGGAAATTATTAACACTCTTAAATAACAATTTAATCATTAAAGGTTATTTCTCAAAACATACTCGAATTAGCATATTTAGTTACTCCCTCCGTCCCATTGGACTTTGCCAACTTTCCCTTTTTGGTTGTCCCAAAAAAACTTTGCCACTTTCTTATTAAAGCAACTAATTTGTGGTTCTGCACATTTCTCTCTTCTCTGCACAAATCTCAACCCCACAATTTTTACTATTCTTATTTCTCACCTACTTTGCACTTGGCAAAGTCTACCGGGACGGAGGTAGTATTATCTAAATAACCGTTTCATTTTGCAATGGAAACTTTTGAATGGAACATAAGTAGTGCTCCCTAACATATAGTGACTTTAGGTTTCTTTCTTTCATGTGACTATTGAAATTTACGATCTTTTCAGCTGTGGAAAATGGTGACCATTGAAATTTTAGTGAGTTCTATACATCTATATCATCATTGCTCATGAAAGGCAATGTAAGTACCACAAAAAATCACATAAGGCATGCTTCTCTGAAATAACAAACTGCTATTTAACAAAATTACAATACACCACATTTTAGGATACACTGTATGCATTGGGCACTATCCCCATCGCGCAACGCGCGTTACAAAACTAGTGAAATATATACAAGTCAAACACAATCTCATAAACACATCTAGTCTTATTAAATCCCATTTGTTATCGACATATTGTATGCATAACTTTGTTTGGACTCGTAAACGAATTAAATAGTTTTGATTATAAATAAAATACGAATGTGTTTCCATTCAAATGGGTTTGATTCAAATATTACTCGAATATATTCTAATTATATAAGAATCTTATATTTGTTTATTAGTTTATCTATTCTTAAGATATACAATACCTCATATAAATGATTATAATACAATTTAATGGTAATAATACTAATAACACTAATAATAATAATGATGGCGGTGGTGGTAATGATGACGATGAAGATTATGAAGACGACGATGACATTGATTACGATAATTTTTTTTTATCGTCAAAACCCAAATATCATTAATTTAAGAGATCATTAGCCAAATGGCTAGAAATACAACTCGGCACATCAACATAATCAATATATTAATCTGAGATATGAACATGTGATTACGATAATTATAATAGTTTAATATTAATGGACTAAAATGACTATAATTTTTTTTTTTACTCCAGGGGGCATCTGGGGAGGGGGGCTGAGGACCTGGAATAATCAGGGATGAAACTCACTCCATTGAGTTTCGAACCCGAGACCTCCTGTAAAGAAGAGTGAGTCGGCGACCAGCTGGGCTGGACCGCTTCCTCACTAAAATGACTAGATATTTTACAATTTTATCTTCCCCCGATTGCTTTTTATTAATCACCATTTTAAAGTTGTTTATTTGAACATTATAGTTCTCCATACATAGTTAAATTGATTTTAATATTGGACATGTCATTTGTAGATACTGATTTAAATGAAATACATATTATAAAAATAGGCAAAAAAAAAAAACATACAAACAAATGTGTATGCACTTATATGTATATATGTATGTGTATGCGTGTATTATGTATGTGTCTAGTCATGGACTTGACTGGTCTGTCCGATTCCGAGCCCAGGACCAGCCAATCCCGATTCTGAAATAGTGTAGCCCATTACTGACTCGGTTTTGTCGGATACCAGTTCCGGTGCGGGTACCCAGGTGGGTGACGAGTCAGTACGAATCAGGTCAGGTCACGAGTACCCACCCTCTATTTAAAAAAATGGTCGCTGGGACCGAGATCAAGCCTAACTGATCCCGTTTCTACGCCAGGCCAATCCATACAGTACCAATCCTGGATCGGTCCCTAACTCCCTATGTATGTCAAAAACATGCCGTCTCCAAAAGTAGACCAGGAACATCAAACCAACTATTATGAGGGCAAACAAATAGCTAATGCCCAACATATTTTTGGAAGTTGGAACCAACTACTATACATATAGATGGACTCGGGTCGGGCCGGCCGGCCCGGTACTGTTTGGGCCCGGTCTGGCCCGGTACCCAGTCTTGGGGACGGTTCGGGCCAACCGAAACCGGTCTAATCCTGGTGCGGGCTCGGGCCCCCTAAAATGCGAACCGGCCCGGCCGGTCTGGGCCCGGTTCGGGCCTTTTTTTTCCAATTTTTTTTTGCTTTCTAACGGGTTGGGCTGGGTGTTTTGGGGTTGGGGGGTTGGGGGTGGGGGTGAGGGGGGTCGGGGTTATTTAGAAAATCAAAAGAAATAAAAAAAATTGTACCGGAAACCAGCCCGGCCCGGAACCGCCGGCTACCCGGGCCGGTTCCGGTTCCCTACTTCCCAAACAAAAGCCCGGCCCAGGTCCACCCCTAACTATACACATTATTATATTCAAACTTCAAACACAACTTTTACTTTTTTAACCATTTTATTAATAATTTGTTAAATCAAAACAAAACATGTAAAATGGTCCAGAGGCCCAGAGCTGAGGTAGTATATAAAAAGAACATAGTGAAAAATATTTCAAGTACACAGTTGCCGCAAAATAAAAATTGCCACATAGGAATACAAATGAGTAGACTAACCGGCTAACTTGCTGCTAACCTACTAAAACCCAGTTTATGTGTTTGAGAGTTTAATTGAGTGTTTTTATAGTACAAAGGCCGAATTGCCATTTTGGTTATAGTGTGAGAGCTTATTTTACAATTTTCCCTATGTAATACCATACATACATACCCATTTAATAATAGACAGTATGTGGTGAAACCTGCAATATAACTCTATTACAAATCACAACAGTCGGGATATTTACACTTGTGGACAGAAGAAAACACCAGCTGAATTCTCTATGTACAACATCTGAAGATATCTTAAAACCTACGCAACTCCCAGCAGATGCACGCAACTTTATTACCTCCTTGAAGAAAATCCCTTCCATATTAACATCTGCAACATGAAAATCTGGTTATCTGTGTAATTGAAAAGCGTGCTCTAACAGGTGCATATTTACCTTTGAAACGGAATGAGTTTGAGGGACAATATGTTACCTAGGATAACAAAGAAGAATAGAAGATCAACATTGAATTCTTTTCTTATACATTTTGGACTTTCTCAAGCACCCCCAAGGCCTCGAGAATGCTATCAACCCACCTGGAAATTGATAGAGTATATAAGGGAATATTTAAAACAAAACGATATTAAAGTATTTAATTCTTGTTTAAATATTTCAGTTTTTCTACTATTTCTACATTTCTATTTAATATTTTGATTTTTAATCTTTTTACATATTTTTTGAGTATTCATAGATTTTGACATTTATTTCACAATCTTTTTACATTTTCCAATTTTTACAATTTTTCTGCTCAAATGCAGAGATTGGGAAAGCTCTCCACAGTCCAAATGCAATTTTAGTTAATTCTAATTCAAATTAATTAGTAATAATTCAGTTTTTTTTTAAAAGGATACACCCTCTGTCAAAAAAGAAGAAGTCATGTTTCAAATACAGAGCCCGGAATTAAGGGTCAACTTTCAATTATAAGTAAGATTCCTGCAAAGCCCAGAAGCAATCCATAATTTATTGCACTGACTAAAAAAAGGGTGTCATACTCAAACATGATTTTTTTTCTTTGTTTGGGGACAGAAAGTTCTATCACTATATCAGTGACAGAGGTTAGAAACAAAAGATTACCCATCAACACCAGGATTTTTTGGATAGTAGACATTTCTTAGTCCAAGTCTTTTAGCTGCCAAAGCAGTTGTTTCACCTATGCATGCTACAGCATTTCCCCACTCTTCCATTGATGGAATGATATTTGACCATGCACTGTTGATTTGTGGAAAAAACAAGATAAAATTCAGTGTAATAAATATATACATGTCACTTGAGCCATTCATTCATGAAGAAAACAAGAACAATGAAGAGAAGAAATCTGCTATATGGCCAATAAAACGAGCACAGAAAATACGTGTGAATCTGAATTACTGTTCTGCTTATATTACGGAGTATAATGGAAATGAAATTGCGGTGACTTACTAAATGGCAGAAGGTGAGGCTACAGCAACTACAGGAGCACACAGGGCTGCTTTAAGAAGGTCATTATCAAAGTGTTGTACTGGTTCCTGAATGGATACAAAGGAAGTTCAGTAGGATAGACGTCAGGATTACCTCATTATCCTTTTCCCTAAACACCTTAGCATCAACATAATAAAATTTGGAGGAGTTACATGTACAAAAAATAAATAAAAAGAATCTGCTAAAGCACTAAATAATAACATGACAAAAAACAGCTGAATACCGTATTGTATGTATTCATCCTTGTAACCTCAAATCCACGCTTTGAAAGGCCTTCTTCTGCAAAAAAAATATTTATATATAATGCTGATATCAAAACTAACTTCAATTTTTTATCTAACATGATCAGAAGCTCTGTCAGCCCCGCAGTTGCTGCTTGTAACAGCAGAGACAGAGAGGGCAAGCACTTAAGTACCCAAACACACATGATCACTCTGTTCATTTCTATTTTCTATTCTTTATTATCAGTAAGAAAAAAATTTGACAAAAATGCAATCCTGCTCTCTGGCATTCACGTCCTCCCTTTCTATTATATGATTTGTATGAGTCACAGAAGCACAGGATAGTAGCAAATGACACAGAGACAAAAAGAAACAATGTAGTGAAACGACTTATAATGTACGTAGTAATATGTTACATACCAATCTCACCACTGGCTTTTGCTGAAGCAGGATAAAGAACAGTGCATCTTTTTTTGTCTTGCTTAGGAAGTTCTGCAGCTAAGACCCTACCAGTTGCTGCCAAAATTAAGGGAAAAATGCAATTTCCAGTGACAATAAGTAATTTAAATTATCAGAGCAACGTTCTGCGCGTTCTTTAATTTTCAGTGCTACAGGTTAATTTCACAGTAACTTCTTGATGGGACCAAGGCTTCAAGAGGGAAACAATATCATACCTTGGGATGGAGCAAAAGCAACATCAAGATACTGCTTTGATGACCGAGTAACTTTATCAAATATGCTAGCTGTACCCACCCCAATGACAGCAACTCTGACATTTGGGGTTCCAGCAACCCTATTTGAAAATTTAGTGCCAGTCCTTCAGTGGATCTCCCGATAGAGGACTTTCATGTCATATAAAAATATTTAGGGGGAAACAAACAGACAGCAGGATGAAGAATGGAAACTGTTTGAAAGTCAGACCCCCCTTTCTCCCATTATTAAGTTTTGTATGACAATTGACAATATCTAAGAAAAACCTCCTTTTAAGCTATAGGTATATTGCATCACTTAAATTCATAAAACAAGAAGCCCAGGTCTACAGAATTTCACCCTCAAAATCATTTGTGATAACAGCACTATTTGAAAAGAATTAAGAAAAAGGATAAATACTCAATATAATGCTTTCAGCCAGTGATTCATCATAATTCAGCATTATGATTTGTGATTAAACCTTTAAACCATGCATTAAATTCTATCAAGGACTTGGGCCTTACTTCCAAGCATCCAGGAAAACTAGACCCGCCTCTGGTGAAGTGATGACAATCCAGTCAAAGTTGTTCTCTGCACACGAAATATGAGAAAAGCAGGCATGATTGAGCCTACTCAAGAAGGAATAGAATAGTCTCTAGATGAACTTAGGTTTATATAAGACAATGGAGAAATCTAATATATGACCGATTAGATTTGCAATCAACACTAGGGATGTGGAATATCAACTTTTAACAGTGTAATTTGGTTTGGTTTGAGTCGGGTATAGGCGACCATTGTATTTTCTCCTGCTTGAAATACAATATTGTTTGCTTCATTAAGTAAACAATGGAAGATCAAACTTTTAATATGCTTTTTTATGTGAAAGATAGCAATACTAAAACAGTGATGTTAAATACTGATGCAAACACTAATATATGCAGATACCAAATGAAAAATATAGAACTTAGTAACATAATTTAAAATTTTAAACGTAGAAACAACTAAATACAATTTTTTTAACATTCTTAAAGATCACAACATTGGCACTAAAATGTCAAAAAAAAAAACAAATTTGGTAAACTCCCAAACAAGTAAAGAAGGCTATCCATAGAACAATAGAGTCAGGATTTAATGGGGAAAAGGTGAATAATATCTCTGACATGCATGAGGTAATAACACATTCAGAGCCCAAGAAGTAAATAAAATCATGGATATAAGAGTGACCTGCACAATATCTAAGTACTGTCAGCCCAGAAAATGAATATGAGCTTTCTTACAGGAAAGACAAGAAACACTTACGCCTCAACACTGAAGGAAGCGTATCCAAATCAGAAAGATTTGTGTGTTGAATGAGAGGAAGCTCTAGACTATCAATCCCATGCATTGCCTGCACAAGATGATGAATACTGCATTACTAGTGTCACCTAAATTGTGAGGCTAAGATCGCCTTTGTTTGCCAGTGACCTATAGAGGCATGCCACACTGCTAGTTAAGATGGGTGCAGACCACATCTTAAGGAAGGAAGCTTTTTTCTCACCTCATATATGGAATACATGTAAATAGAGGTAAAACTTATTTATTAGAAAAAACAATCATCTTACAAACTGACTTCTTAATCATGTCAGAGTGCTAGGTAATGCTTAATTTATACGTTTAGTTTGCAATCTAATACACAATACACACTACACTAGCCACTACAAGGAAAAGACAATAAGAGATAGGTGCGGAGCATTTAAGATATTAATAAGCTCCAGTGAACCGATGTTTATGTGTAACCTTTATTTTTAGCTGAAAGCCCATCTGAACACCATGCATTGCATTATAGCTGAAATAGATGCTGCTTTTCTAAGAGAATGTTATAGCCGTAAATTCTACTACCAATTTTCTGAATTACTTATCTCATTCACTATTTTGAAGTCAATTCAGTTCGATTTTAATTTCTAATTTAATGACCATACTTTTTCCGTATTCAAATCTGGTTTTGTGATTCAATTGAAACTTTTTCCGTAATTAGTTAATTACTAATGCTAGTTCAAATATTACAAGTATTCGAACAGAATAAACTTTAACCTCGGCTAAACCTCTTAATCCGAATGTGACTAGTAATTTGGAAGGGGTGGAGTGGTTTTTAGAGAGAAAAAAATGGAACTTGAGAGATCTTTCCAAATGACAAGTGGAGCAGCGTCTTGTTCAGACTTCAGACATTTGATCAAATACATTATGTGGCACTCATCTTTACATAAATCAATAAGCTGTAAACCAAGCAAACAGTAAATTCCATTTCTGAAAATGTCAAAGAGGCTTATAAAAATAAAGACACCTGCAAATAACTGGTGGATTCACAACAAGATTGTCCAAATCAAGACGTACAGATAGACCAATAACGGGAAATGCGAATCTTCCCGAATGTACAGGAAAAGAGGTAGAGAGGGAGTACCAGAGCTTTGATGAGCTTGTCATTCTTGCCGCGTTCTCTGGTAACGACGACTTTGGGAAGCTCGGGGGATGAGACTGACGCGATTAATGAACCGCCGGAAGATCCGGTTTTGATGGAGCTGCAAAAGGTTGTACTACGGTGGAGTCGCAGATGAGTGGCAGATGACGACGGAGGAGGAAGAAGAGGATAGAGACGGGAGACATAAGGCTGAAGCATGGCGAGCGATTGGAACTGTAAATGTCGCACACGGTGGATTGCCGTCCACAATTTCCCGCGCCGCTTCTTACTTCTTAGGCCAACAATATTCTTAGCTTATCTTTTTCACCGTTGGGAACATGCTGGCAGTAACTAGGCGTTAAGGGGGCATGGCCCCCACAATTTGTGTGTTTATACTTTATATACTGATGTCCCTGTAATTTGCTTTTTTGTTGTACTCCGTGTAAAATAGAAGTAATTAACATTTTAAATATCAATTTGTTTCCAATAACTTTTACGGAGTATTAATTTCTACTCGGTAACTAGTTTCTTATTCTCGTTTCCTGTAAATACTCATTGGTTTTTAGTTCTATTTTGGAAAATTTTCTTTTTATATTTCAAGTTGTGCAGACAAGGACTTCAATTGGGAGGTTACCGTGTCTAGTGGAGGTCTCGGGTTCGAAACCCGCTAGGCACAAAAAAGGGATGACGGAGGTCTTGCTCCCAATGATTCTTTCTACCTTCATGGAGTTGCTCATCAGATAAGAAGGAAGAGGATTGAAAATGCAGATAGCAGGTTCGTGTGGTAGGAGTATCATCCAGTTGCAGCCTGGCGCACAGGTGATGGATGTCCTGCTGAATTCGTCCTGTAAAACCAGTACCAACGAAACTGACTGTGATCAGATCCGGAATTAACTGTCTATGGGCTTTGGAGAGTAGTTCATAGACTCTAGGATTAGGGGAGCGCAAGCGCACACACCTGAATCATAAAAAAAGATGTTTTGGAAAGATTTTAACGCATGCGTAGACGGTCAGTGGCGTATCCACTATGGGGGCAGCGGGGGCAGCTGCCCCCACTCAACCCCAACCCAACCCCTATATATGGCCAAATTTTTACAAGAAATTGCTCAAATTAAGAGTTAAATGTAGAAAAAAAATTCTAAAATAGGATTAGAAGTGTTTTCTTTAATATTAAAAGAATGAAAGGCTAAAAAATTCACTAAATTTTGTTATGTTTAAGAGCCCGTTTGGTAGCACAAAAATCGGCTGTTTTGGCTGATTCTGCTGAAATTTATGAAGTTCTGGCTGAAGTGGCTGCTTTGGCTGTTTCTGCTGATTTAAGTAAAAATTATTTTTAAAATATATTTTATTAATAAAGTAAAGAAAAAATTATATGTAAAAATAGCTAAAATGGTCATCTACAGTAACTTCAGCCAATACAGCCAGAAAAGTAACCCCAACCTTACTTTTTCTGCTTATTACACAACTCAGCGCGCGAAAGTAAAAATTACGTGTTTGGTGAAAAAGCAGGCTGATAAGCCTGATAAGCTGAAAAATGAGGTTACCAAACGGCCTCTAAGTCTGTTCAACTTATATTTAGGTAAATTTATTACATTTTATCAGCAATTACATCTTTACACACCCGTAATATAAATTAATCTTCTTTTTATTCATACTTGTACATAGATATTATAAACTAAATTTAATCAAACAATATTAATAATGTGATTTGTTATTTGTGAAATATGAGACTAAATTGTAGTCAAGTTTGCCCCCACTCGCTAAATTAGTAGAACTTTTTTTTGAATCATAATAGACGGTAAAACTACATATTTTCAGAGTAAATTTTTAAACATTTTTTAAGAATTGGAGTAGGTCGGAGCCTACTATAACGGGCAAATTATAAGATACACCCGGTATTTTTGTAATATATATCAATTTTATGCCTTTTGAGTTTTGATTCTCCCATCTCAGCTCCATGCCTGTTGCTTTCCTTTCTTCTCCAGCATCCCCGTCACTTTTCATTCTTTTTCAGCCTCCCCGTTCCTTTTCTTTCTTTTCCAGCTGCCATTCTCTTTGGTCTTCCCTACTGGTTGTTTTACATTTTGTGTGGCACTGAGATAACAAGTTGTTTACTTAGTGAGCTGAATAAGATGTCTGAATCATATCAAATGACCAAATAACCCTCATGTCCGGAAAAAGAGCTGAATGTATATTGACTGTTTATTTTTCTTGTTCTGAACGATAATTTCTTGCCTGTTTACTTTTCTTGTTCTAAACGATAATAATGAATTATTATTACTAATCTATCACTACAATAGAATTGATTTGTGGAGGCAATCCATACATTCGTGTTGATCTTCAAACAACATACATTTGCCTCAATAAGCTTAAATTTATCACTAAAATGTAATTACACCAGTATATTGTTTTTACAAATATATCTAAAACAGTTGCTTAAGAAAGATCATTCATTAACATCATCACCATCATCATCATCCATAACCACCACCACCACCACCACCACCACCACCACCACCATCCTCATCATCATCCTATCATCATCATGAACCTTGTTGTGCCCTCCTTGTCAACCTACCACCTAACCGTAGACAAGTACTATACTTAAATTCCAGTAAATCCATTCCGAAATAATGTAAAACTGCGCAAGGATTTCAACCGTGACAAAGGCACAAAGCACTCCCTCTAGCCCAGTATTATACAACATAATCTTTACTAATCTTTACTACATCTTCATCTGAATTACAGAACACACCACTATAATCTTGGCAAAGGTTTTTATCAAGATCCCATGAAGACAAACTACCGAATGGGCTAGTGGAAATGTTTCCCTTGAATTGAAGCACTATCTCTTTTTCTGTAGGTGTAAACACAATTTCAAACTCAAAGAAGCAAAAGGTGCAGTAAAGAACAAGGCAATAAATAAACCGTAGCAATTACTTTTCATGGTTCCGGCAAAGCTACCCCAGCAATTACTTGCATCAACCGTAGAGCTATCTACTTCCACATAAATAAAGCCATGGCCACTAAAAATCTGCAATCACTTTCATTAACTAAAGATAAAATCTGCCTCCTATTAAAAAAACAATTAAAAATGAATCAACATATAATAATCAGTGTTTGAAAGAAAGAACTCACTGTATATGCCACCAACAATAAAAAAATCCCAACAATAGGTGATGTATAAACATCCCAGGAACAAATCAAAATACTTCGTATTATATACTGAGTATGAGACTCCAGTAAAAAATGGACCTTATAACATGAGGCTGAAGAATATGATATCTCTAATTAAGTTGAATTTCAGAATTTTTACCAATCTATAGGAATTAGAAACCGGCTAGATCGAGAATGAGAGAAATAGAAGAAAAGATGTAAGATCAGAGAAAATACCTAGATGAAAAAGTTGGGCTTTGAAGTTCTTCTTCGTTAGTATCGCGCAAGATGCATGCTCAGGTCGACGATTTCCGCAGGTCTATAGCCAAGAGTGTTGTTGTCTGGGATGAAATATTTGAAAGGGGATAAGGGTTAAAGAAGGTATTCCGCGAAGGTAGAGGCGTCTGAATCGTAAGGAGTGTGAAATCTATGCTGAACGAATCAGTCCTAATTTGACTGAGCGAATAAGTCGTATCTTTAATTAAGCTCTAAATAAACACAAGTATATAACTGATTGATTAAGTCCATATTTCCATTCAGCTCATTAAGTCTAAAGTAAACGTGCCCTAGTTTACTTTCTTTTCTTTTGTCTTTTTTCTTTTCTTCTTTTCGTTTCTTTTATTTCTTATTTTCTTCTTTCTTTTTCTTTATATATTAATACCGAGCACATTAGAAATGAGATTTATTTTAAACTCAAATAGGTAAATCGACTAAAAAGAATGAACATACACAAATGAGATTTTGGATTTTTGAAAGCTCATTTTGTATGCTATGTATGTCCATTTAGTACCTTTGTTATACTCATTTTAAAATGTTACTCCCTCCGTCCCTAAATAAAAGACACACTTTCATTTTTGGGTCGTCCCTATATAAAAGGCACATTTCCCATTTTGGCAAACAAAACAGTGCTAAGAAGTGTCAAACAGTGTTCCTCAAGTGTGTGAAAAAAGCAAATGTGCTCTTTATATAGGAACGGAGGGAGTATAACAATGCATGCTTCAAAGGTCTCATATTACATTAGATTCACATGGAATTTGATTATAGACACTAGATCACTAATCATGATACTCAATCGCACGATTCTAATACTCAATAACGGAAGTTCAATGCTCACTGAAAATGTCTTGATGTTCAACAAACAGAACTTACAATTTTTATATCAATGATCATCTTGTAAGTTACATATACTCATTGTATAGGTTTGATGCTCATCAAAAATGCATTAATGCTCATTTAACAGAAATCGTTATTTCCATCAATGTGCATTTTGTAAGTTACGTAAGCTCACCAAGTACTCATCTTATGCTCATTTTCTAAATGTCATATCAATGCATTTTTTAAAAGTACTATTTTACATTAGATTCACATATTGAAATTCATATGAGTTGATTATAAATATAATTTAATAAGTTTTTATAAAAGAAAAAATAACAAAAAGAAAGTGAATTAGAAGTTATGAAGCAGATATCACGATTCTGAATATTAGACTCCTAATACTCAGCGTAATAAGTCTAATGCTCATTAAAAGTTCATCAATGCTCATTCACTAAAAACCGTGATTTTCATCTCAATAGCGGGGGTTTGATGCTCAATTAAAATGCTGTGATGTTCAACTAATAAACCTTACAATTTTCATATCAATGTGCACTTTATAAGTTATGTATGTTCATTTGAACTGATTTTATGCTCATTTTTGAAATGTCATATCAATGCATATTTCAAAAGTATCATATTACATTAGACTCGCATATTGGAATTAATAGGAGTGAATTATAGATATAATTTAATAAGTTTTTATAAAAGAAAAAAATTTTAAAAAGAAAAGAATTAGAAGATATGAAGCAAAGATCATGATACTCATTGCTAGCCTCATAATACTCAATACAATAGGTCAGATACTCACTAAAAGTACACTATTGCTTATTTAGCGGGAGCCATGATTTTTCGCTTAAATTACAAAAATGCCACTGAAAAAATTAGACTGTTTTAATTAAATGGACTATCTTTCTTAATTGGGCCTTTTTTGTAGGCCTTCGTTGATTTCATTAAATTTTATTGAAATTAGGCTGAAGCTTAAACAAAATTACAAATAAACCTTACGGTTCTCACCCGTACGTGTATAATATACGAAGGCAACGAAGCGACTATAACCCCCATGATCTTCTAGTCCCATGCATGATTCCAATAATCGAATGAGAGAGTAAACA